TCCTGGATGATCCAATTTGGGAAAAACTTCTCCCAAGAGATTTCCTTCAACAAAGAGATAGAGTATCTAGCTAAAGTACTATCCGCTATTTTGTTCACAGATCTAGAAATATATATAAATTCTACATGATTGAACATGCTTGAAAGCTTCCAGATGTCTTCACACAACACTTCTATCTCCCATGAAGTTGCTACTCGTTTCTGAATCATATCAACAACATTTTTAGCATCTGATAAAATCTTCACTCTCTTCCATCCCTTATTGATAGCATATTCAAGAGCTTTCCTAATAGCAATCGCTTCAGCTGTCATGACTTTCCCAACAAATTGGATTGGGGATCCATGGGCATGAAGCAGGTTCCCAAGGCTATCCAAAGCCACAATACCGATACTTGCCCTTCCATCATCATTCTGCAATCCTGCATCTGTAAACAATAAAATGTCATCTTGCAAATTTGTTAGTTTAGTCACAGAATGATCTCTACAGGAACAAGAGAAAAGACTTTTGGTAGTAACTCTTTATATTCTTCATACTCAAACATAGATCTAGAAACAATATCTCTTGGTTCTAACCTTTCCTGATTAAACAACCAACTATTCCTACTTTTCCAAATTTGCCACATAATGTTAGCGCTCAAGTTTAACAAGTCAATAGATTCAGGAAAAGTTTTGGTATTTAAGAACAAGTCATACCACCAGATAGAAAAATCAGTAATATATCCTATATCAGGCCAATTTGTAGGACATTGCTTCCACACAAGTTGAGACCGAGGACATTTGAATAGCATATGTTCTATATCTTCAGGTCCAAGACCACAAATCTTACAAGTCTTATCTACATTGTATAGTCTTTTTGCTAAATTACTATGGACTGGTAGAGAGTTAAGCACACATTTTCTCAAAAGGTGTTTAAGCTTTTTAACTCCCAACTTCCATAAGAAGTCCCAAAAACATTTTGGAAAAGAGTGACAACTCACTTGAACTTCCGTATTTTTCATTGTTTTACCGATCAAATCCTTTGCGATGTAGTAATTAACCTGACTTAACTTCATAGTTTCCTGTTTTTGTATGGTGCCATATTAACCTATCATTAGAACCTGCAATAGAAATTGGGATAGACAATATAGCATTAACATCTTCAGCTTCAAACAATGAATTTAGCTCTTGTATTTTTCATGTATGCATATTCTTATCAATTAAATCAGATACTACTAAATCTAAATTTCTATGCCCATGGATACTCTTAGGGATGAAGAAATTATTATTTGGTATCCAAGGGTCGATCCAAACATTAATATTTTTCCCATCAGAAATCCTCCATCTTAATCCTTTAGTCAAAAGATCTCTTCCCCACAAAATACTCTTCCATATCCAGCTACCAGAAGATGATGTTGAAGCTTTAAGAAAGGTTGAGTTTGAAAAATATTTGCTTTTAAGAACTCTTCCTATTAAAGAATCTGGTAATTGCGATAGAATTCGCCAAGCCTGCTTAGCTAATAGAGCCATATTAAAAGCTTTTAGATCTCTAAAGCCTAATCCTCCTATTGATTTAGAATCACATAATTTATCCCATTTCTCAAAATGCATCTTTCTTTTCTCCTTTGTTTGTCCCCACCAAAAATTTGAAAAGAGGGATGTAATTTCCTTACACAGACCATCAGGGAGTTGGAAACAAGACAAAGCATACGTAGGGATCGCTGCTAGTACGGACTTGAGCATAATTTCTTTTCCTGCACTACTTAAAAACTTTCCCTTCTATCCTTTTATTTTTGTCTTGACTCCTTCTTTTATAAACTCTAGCATCCTTTTCTTGGAGCGTCCCACAACAGCCGGTAAGCCTAAGTACATACCCATGTCATTCCTTTGTCGTTGTCCAAGCAACGAGGATATCTCAACTTTCTCCTCCTCTCTCACATTTTTACAAAAGCAGATTGCTGATTTATCTAGATTAACCACTTGCCTAGAGCTTCGTTCATATTTCTTTAAGATATTGGCTACGCAACTTGCATTTTGATTGTTAGCTGAACAAAATATAAAAGAGTCATCAGCAAAGAGTAAATGAGTCCTACTCGGTCCATGTCTATTCAACTTTAGCCCTTGGATTTCATTTTGTTCCTCTGATATATTCAATAAGCAGGTTGATAAACCTTCAGCACATATTAAAAATAAATATGGTGATAGTGGATCTCCTTGTCTTATCCCCCTGGTAGGTTTAACCTAACCGATCCAATTATCTCCCCATTTATATTAAAACTATAAGTCGGTGTAGAGATGCATTGCATTATCCATTCGACAAATCTTTTATGGAAACCCATACGTAAAAGCATTTCTTGTAAATAAATCCATTTGACTCTGTCATAGGCTTTCGACATATCCAATTTCATAGCCATATATTTTTGCCTACCTCTGCGTTTGTTTTTTAACACTTGCATAAATTCATGAGCTAAAATAACATTGTCAGTTATTTGTCTATGACCGATGAAAGCCACTTGAGTAAGGGATATCACCTTAGTTAGAACACATTTCATTCTTGCAGCCAGAATCTCGTACAAGGTAGAACATAAACTTATAGGTCTAAACTGCGAAACTATGGTGGGGCTTTTAACTTTGGGCACTAGAGTGATTAAAGTATGGTTCCATGTAGGGAGTAAATATCCTGTACTAAAGAAACTTTTAACAGCATCACAGATTTCTTTTGAAAAGATATTCCAATACGTTTGAAAAAATAGAGGAGTCATACCATCAACACCTAGTGCTTTAAGAGGATGCATCGCAAACACCGCATTCTTTATTTCCTCATCATCAACTTCCTTAATTAAACTCTGATTTATAGAATCACTAACAGACACTTTAACATGATTCAAAATACAGTCCAAGTTTGTCGGGTTAGATGTAGAGAATAGACTGTTATAATATTGCTCAACTTCTTGAATTATATCAGTTTGGTCTACCACCCACCTCCCATCAGATGTCTGTAAACCTTTTATCATATTTCAAATTGATTGTACACTTTGAACACCATTTCAAATGGATATAAAACTTGAAAATATTTTACATTTTTGTGTAGTTCTAATGAAATGTAAATACCTATACACTAGTCAATAAGTATACACCCGCTTTTTCTATCGAATACGTGACACCTATTTTAATCAAGGTTATAGTTCAATAAACCAACCAAAAGGATTTCCCTTTGTTAGTTCAAATGGTTTAGCTGGCTTTCGACGTTGCCAAGCTAACAAGTAGAAATAACATTCATTGGTCACTTTTTGGCTCTGTCTTCGAGAAATAGTCACTCATGCAGTGGCAAATTCCAGAACTCCATGATAATTTGAAATTCTAGACATGGACTATTTTTCAATTACAGAAAATAAAAAGTAGCTACAACATTGGAAATAGCAATAATTACATGAGGGCCAACACTGGGTTTGTTTGGAAAGCCATTTGGTAATTGGAATTGGTGTAATTACTAGGGTAGTAATTACCAGCCTAGTAATTACACTGTCTAGTAATTATACTGACATGTTTGGTTGTCACAGTGTAATTACACATGTCTTGTTTGAATGCCACAGTGTAATTACACATGTTCTGTTTGGATGCACAATTGCAATTATAAAATTATAATAAATTTTAAAAATAAAAATTAATTATTTAAAATTTATACTAGACAAATAAGAAACTTTATAAATGACATTAAATTAAATATTTAAGATATATATTCTTTTTTGAAAATATATTAATTAATAAACATATTTTCTGTAACTAATATTATGAAAAAATAATTGAATTATATTTTTTTCAAATTAATATATTGCAATTGAATTGATCGTAACAACTAAAAGTATGAAAATTCTACGAATATCGTGAAATGCATGTTTGATAAAAAGAATAATATATAAATAAAATGTCATAAATTATTAAATGTTTGACAAAAATACAATCTATCAAGTCTAATTAAAAAATAACGTGCAATGTAAATTCAATATTACTAAAACAAATGAAACTGAAAATATAACATAAGTTATAAATTCAAAACAAAAAATTTAACATAATACTCTTATAACAAATTTCAACATAGCAATAAATATGATTTATTTTTATTTTTTCTTAATAAAGAAAACATAAGTCTATAACCTTACTTAACAATAAATTCTATTTTAATTTAAAAATTAGAATACTAATAAAATTATGCTAATGAGAAAATAAGCATGGCATAAAGAAATAGATAATACGAGAAAATTACATAGAATCACGTAAAGTAAGGTTGAGAACAAGAAGAAAATGAAATATAATATTATAAAATAAAAAATAAACTTTTACAAATTTTTAGAATAATAAAAATAAAAAAAGAACTTAACATAATAGAAGTAAAAAAAATAGAAAAAAAAAAAGAAATTAAAATAGAAAAAAAAGCAATTCACAGCCTCTACCTGTGAATTGTAGAGTGTAATTACCCCCTGCTAATTACATCAATTACCTGCTGACCAAGTAATTACATGTCCTTCCAAACAGGACAATACAGTGTAATTACACCAATTACACCAAATCCAATTACCAGGGTGTCCTTCCAAACAGGCCCTAAATGTTGTCAATGATGAAACTTACTGAGACATCAGACAACAGCAACAGTTGCACTACACTCAGGTTCCCAACATTTAAACCTAAGCAATATATCGACAACTTGTCGAATTTAATAAGGAGAGAAGAGTAGACAAGCAGCTAACATGGCATGCATGACTAAGTTATTTTCCTAACTGTTTTTTCAGTAACTCTCCACTCAAAACATGATCGAGGAACGGAGTGTATCAAGTTTTCTAAGAAGTCTTGCACAGCTCGCGGATGATATGCTTTGAGGTTTTAACAGGGAGAGTTGCTTTTGAAGATAGCCAAGAGAAGATGTGGCGAAACATGAGGACAGGACCTACCAAAGTACGTGACAAACTTGACAGAGTGTCTTGACACAACGATCCAATCAACAGACAAGTTTCTCATTCATCTGCTAGATTTTCCGCTATGTAAAGAGGTTGTTAGTGATAAGCTCTGATCACAGTTGAATGGATTCACCATTACCACCAGTTTGAGTACAGTGACATCAAGGCTGGGATATTACGCAGCTGTCCCTCCCTGGGAAATTCTGTTCTGATCCTTTACCTGTCGCACATACTTTTTCAAATGTTCGCTCACAAGGTGACTGAGAAAGAAGTAACATAAGTCACGGAGACAAATTCTGAATCAGTACATGGCATGTGACGCAGCTTTAGCCTGTGGAACGGCCACTTAGATTACCAACTGAAAAGAAGTGGATTATGTCTACCAAGACTTTGGAGCAAGAGACGATCTGCAAATATCAAAGCAAGTAAAGCCTTAGCTTTTTGGATCTAGAGCTATTAAATGCAGTATTGTAGCTAATATTTCTTTAGATTAAAGGTCACTTTATATTGCTCAAAATGTCTTCAAGCAAAACTTTAAAGAAAGTATTGTAAACTCAAAGTCTGGCATATTGCAGCAACCCGAAAGAGATTTTAACAAAGGGATATCATTTATGCACAAATGGAAGGTGAAAACACCACGGATTAAGACCCGTAGAGTTCTGTCTCTAACTTTCAAGTTGGAGAGGAAGTGGACTCCACATTCCACTTGTTCAAATGGCATATACAGGGTTTGACAGCTCCCTTCATATTTGAAATATGTGCTCGAAGGTGGCAGATGTTTGGTAAAAGGGTGTGGAATATGTTTGTTTAGGTGAACATGAAAGAGCTCATGCTCGCAAAAAATTGTGATCCATACCTCCGCTTGGCAAATCCAATCATGCAAAGCATACTCTCTAACAGGTCTCAACTTTGCTAATGTCATTTCTTTGCAAAAGAAGCAGTGAAGAAGGCCACAACTTCTTCATCTCGATATCCATTTATCCTGAAGAACTCACGAGACAGGCGAGGACTACATTAGTGCTGTCTCCTATTCTGAAGTCCATTCCATTTAGCCATGACTACAAATTCAGCTTCAATGTTCGACACCTAGATTTATCAATCCTGAAATGTTCAAAACATTCTGTTAAAAAAAACTTGTGTGCTTTGGACCAATTTGGTAATATGTCAAGGAAACTACGAATCTTAACAACTTATTTTACTGAATGTACCTTAAAAGTACCTTAATTTTTCTCTATTCCAGCTGAAGCTAGGTGTACAAAACAAGTCTGCCAGCATGGTACAGATTCAGAAGATAAGGATGATGAGCTTTAATTCATACCAAACGTAACAGCTTTATACATCCAGTTGAGTTTGCTGCAACAACCATATTAGATTTCCTTCTCCAGCAAACACTTGAAACAAATTGCCCATTACTCTCACCATCATTGCCAGAGCTAGGATCAACAGATCCAAATTTGTAAGAGGCTATTTGCATTGGTAGAGATCTATGATAAGCATATACCTGCAAAAAGAATGTTAAAAGTTAAGAAAAAGATTGATACTTCTTCGGGAAGTTGAGCCTACGGTTTAACATAAGAAAAATGATGGAATATGAAGTACCTCATTAGATTCAGAACCACATGCAATGTACCCATCCAAAACTGACAACCCCACAAAGTTCTGTACAGAGCAAAAAAAGAGAGTAAATGAAATTGAACCTACAGCATTGAGATGTTCATCGTAGAGCAAATATCCTCTATTTACCTTTTCATTGGTGTGTCCCTTGAATGTCAAGCTGCAAGCATTTGAGGACAATCCTTCCAAACTTGTTCTCTTTAGGTCCCATAGCTTTAGCGTGTTATCTGTGGATGCAGAAACCAGGGTACCATAATCTAAGAATTTTACATAGCTAACAGCCTTCTCATGTCCAGATAATGTGCACCATGGAATCCTAGTATGGCGAAGATCATAGCAGTAAATTTTGTAATCAGCAGATCCGAAAGCCAACAGATGAGAGGAGTAAGCAGAAAACTGCACACAGCATATGTTGGCAGGATTCCAGATCGTATCCACAGAACTCCTCTGCCGAATGAAATAGATCAAACTATGTGTTTGTGTTTCCACAGATCCAAACTAAATGAAGATACCAAACTCATGTAAAAAGTAGCAGGATCGGGTAAAGTACCTCATTAATATTCCACACTTTTACAGAACAATCATCACTTCCAGTGGCAAACTTTGTTGGTTCCACTTGAGAAAAATCAACAGACCAAGCCCTCTTCTGGTGCTCTGTATGTTGTGAAAATTCTTGACCTGTGCTTGCATCCCACATCTAGATTCAAAAATTATACACCAAGAGCTAGTTAACAAAATGAATGAAATACTCAACTTCAACTGCAAGCACGTGTTAGGTAGCTGATATAACCTTTATTGTGATATTTAAAGCACTTACTAGCTAGGAGATTATTCTCTTACATTCTCCTATGAAAAGATAATGCCTTGAGTACTTATAGACTAGTCAGATAACGGGAAAGACTTAAAAATATTGCCATAGCTCATGAAGATTCAAAACTCTTTACCAAGTGAAGCCAAACAAGTACACACCTTGACTACGCCATCATAGTCAGTTGAAGCCAGATAGTTCCTCATATATTTATTCCACGAAACACAGCTAAGCTTAGATCTGTTTGACATCTCAGCCACAGGATATTGAAGATCCGTCGATTCATTCAAAAGTGAAGCAAATTCAAAGATTTTGATTTTCTTTGAGACACCAGCTGCAGCTATAAAGTCCTCTTCATAATCAAAACAGAGGGAGCAGATCACATTTGTAGAGTTGAGAAGATCACCATTTCTTAATGTCCCATATTCCTCAAACTTGCAGTAGCGAGCATATTTACAAATACCTTCAAAGAAGGCTCCAACACGATCAACAGATTTTAGAATTGGCTCTGCCTCTTTTGTTGAAACCTGGAACAATCTGTCACGACTCGTCAACAAATCCGTGTCTGTTCGACCTATTGTATCATTTTCGGCAAGTTGGATTTGGGACCTCATGCAGAAGTATGCACTTTCAAGCTGAGAAATATTCTTTATCAGCTTTTCATTGCTCATATTTGGAATAGAAAACGATCTAGAAATAGAGTCAGTCGAATTGAGATGCTTTAAGTAGGATCCTTGCCGCATATTATTGAAGTCAGTTTCCACCCAATCTGAATTTCTAAGGACCTCCCTTTTCTCAACATCCTTGATATCAGCCTCTAGGCACTCTATTCTTTGTAATAACTCGGAGGTATTATTCTTTTTTTCCTCCTGCAATGAATCTAGGAAATAGAGCAAGACGTCTGAATCAGGGTCATCACCCTTCTCAATAAATGATGGGACACCATCTATTTTACATACTTCTTCAGCTCCAATAATTAATTCAGACTGTAAGATTTCCCTACAAAGATAAGTTGTATTGTGAATGTGATTACAAATCAAACAAATTAACTTGAGGATATTTACAAATTTGCTGTGCCTGAGCTTCTAGCAATTAGAGAAGTTAAAACTCAGTACGACAAAGCTAGAAGATTTACAACACAAAAGTGAAATACTTATTGATCAAAAGGACAAATTGCAGGCTAGAAGTCATACTAACTATTAAAGAACAATAACCAATTTCAGAAAATGTCTTTTCCCTCAATCCTAATGAGTGGCGGACAGTTTGCTATTTATTTCCACCATCACAGAAATGCAACTCTTCCATGTCTAAAAGCTATCCCACTTAAGACCTAAAAAATGGTTTTACTAAATCTTAAAGCTTGGCTGGGAGCAAGGTGCATTTACTGCATATGCAAGTTCCCACAGAGATGACAGCAGGATTAGACAGTACACCACTTGAGATTATGAACACATTACACGAATAAAATCAAACTGATTCCATGCTAAAATGATGTTATTAGAGTACCAGCTCTAACCTAGTGGGGCGTGATATCTCTTACTCCCTCTGTTTCAATTTATGTGAATGGGCACGGGAAAAAAAGGATGACTTTTGAAACTTAGGGTCATAAACATGTCATAACATTTGTGTGGTTATAAGACTTTAGAAACTTGTGTTCTTAAACATGCCATAACATTTGTGTGGATATAAAATCGTGTCACTAAGGGTAAAATGAGAAATTTAAGTTAAATTGTTTGCATATTTAGATAGAGGTCATTCTTTTTTTAATAGACTAAGAAGGACACAAGGTCACATAAACTGGAACATAGGGAGCATATAACAAGGTGACAAGAGAAGTGGCTAAGATGCCTCAAGCCCCAAAGAACTCCACCATCTCTATTTATTATCGAGAAGTCACTCTCGAGAACAACCAGTTTCTAAGCCGAAACGGAAAAAGAGCATAATAGTTATAACAATATCAAACTACGAGGACTCTGTGATTGCCAAAAACTGAAAATGCATTGAGTTCACTCAGAGCATCACAATGTTTTCCACATACCCTATTTTAGGATACTGTATTGCTGGCTGTCTTACAGGTATGTCAACATTGACTTTTTCAGCAAAGTCCAAATAGCAGAAAATAATATTGCACAACAAATTAGAAAAATAACAATACCTTGTTGTTGGACGAGAAGAAGGCACAGGATGAAGCAGCAAAAAGCAAAAGCCAACTTCCTTGGGATTTTGACAAAGGAAATTTGGAGGGAGAATGCGACTTTGCAAATTCAACATGGCTGTGGAATGTGCCGCAGGTGATTCAAAACAGCAGAGCAACTAAAAGAAACAACATGAATTAGTAAGAGTAAAGATAATTTATCTCACCCCTTTGGCAAAGTGCATTGTGAAACAAAACGTCAGTTCCCACACCCCACGAAAAAATCATTAACTTAGCCAGATTGTGTACAGCTACATATATTTCCCCGGAGGAAAAATAAGTTGAAAATTAACAAAAGAAGCCACAAAGGAGAACAGATAAGGGGTGCAGCTGAATCAAGATATATACTCAATGCTAAAAAGAATTGAGCATATGCAACACTGATTCATTGCATTAATGACTGTGCATCAAATTCTAGAGAAGAACAACAGGCTCCTTGGAAAAGATTTGGGAGGTGCTCTCGCCTGCCTTCTCCATATTCAACAATCTGAGAGAGCATAGGAGCATCTGAGGGTTAAATCTCAAAAGTCTATTTAGAAAAGACAAGCATATCAGCCCCACACCATGCAAAGCGAAGCCCGGTATTTAAGTGGAGAAGGGTAGAGGGGCGGGCCCATTATCCACCGAGTTTAGAAGGCTATGATTGGTTCAAAGGACGGGTCACAGACGGATTTCTCGGTTATCAAAAAAAAAAAAAAAAAAAAAAAAAAGACAAGCATATCCAGACTGGAGTATTCTAGTACAAAGATCCAGTAGAGTGGGTCAGTAAAAGTTTCACAAAAGCATATGATTCAATAAATCTTAATTATATTGATTTTAATTCAGTTTCTTAAAGCTCAAGAAGCAAAATCAGGGAAGTGCTACAGGGAGACAGAGTATGTTTTCATCAGAAAAACCTTCCCTTCTTTTTTTGGTGTTTTCTTTCTTGTTTGTTTGGGATGTATGTATCTTCTTCTTTTTGGTGAGGAAGGTAATTGTATTACACAAGCAGCACTTAGTAGGTGCCGAAGTGTATATAGGTGAGCACAAAGCAAAAGAAAAATCACTTACCAATCTTATAGAAATTTTAATAGGCTAAGTATGGATTCTGCTTCATTTAAAAATTCTTCTTAGACTAAAAAGAAAATAAAAGTTCAAAGTTAAACTTGATCTGTTGGAATGAGTTGGCTTTTATCTTTCAAAACATCAGTTCCTTTCTTTCCAAACAACAGTGAATGTGTGTATTGTAGTTACACCAACATTTGAGATCATCTTAAAATCTGCTTCAACATAAATTCAACATCTAAGAACTGATTCTGCATCATTTAAAACTCCTCCCTACACCAAAAACAGAACAAAAGTATACAATAAAACTTGATCTGTTGGATTGTGTTTTCCATATCTTCAAAATATCTAGTGTTACATTCCCTCCTCACTGTCCACCATTTATTTAAATGTGACATTAATATTATATTGTGAACTCTTGCTTAATATGGATTGGACTTGTGCAAACTGAACCTAAGTTTGTGTCTAAGAGGAGAGACAAATGAGCAGAAGGAAAAAGAAAGAGAATTTGTTAGTGATTTGAAGCAAAATGATTATGAACCCAGCAATTGATTACCCACCTCAAAGAAAAGAACCCCGAGACTGTAGATATTAGATGATGCTAGGCTTTCGTGATTGAGTTCTTCAGGACAAGTGTACCACTTCTTCTCTAATTGATTAATGTCAGACTCCAGTAGACACCCTGCCTGAAATGATGTGCCTTCATCACGAGAAGAACGAGCATTGGTTTCAAGCTGCTGTCTCATAAAGTCCACATCCACATTGACCTTCTGCAGCTTTGAACCCAAGTTACTATTAGCATGCATTTCCAAGTGGGATAGCCTTTTCCCATTAGTATTCCGGCTCACGGCATACATGGAGTCTATCTGGACAGATGGACCAATATACTTAACACCATTAGGTGACAGTAAAATAAAACAGGAAGGCCGTATATCCTGGAATGCATTTCCTTCAGAGTGGGCAATATCAATTAACTTCACTATCTGCTGGAATATGTGAATCCTCTCAGCTTTGTTAATCTGTGATCCTGTCGAGTTTAACCACTCTCTTAAGGTAACTCCATTGTAAGTTGAAGTGGGTCTTTGGTGATCGCTACGACTAAAAGATGCTTGATTAGAATTAGCACCTTGCTTAAACAATGCATCAGATGATACCATTCCTGTGAAAGCTTGCTCGAACTCATTCTTATTCTGCAGAGTAGAGGCAGTATGAACTTCTTTATGAAGTGCAGGTCCTTTTGGTAAAACATCTTTGCCTTTAAGAGATCGGTTAGCAAAAAAATGAGAAAAGCTAGAAGTGGATAAAAGTTTTGATTGACTACTTCCCGGAAGGAATCTATTGCTTGGAATAATTAGGTTATGGTCTTCTGTTGATTGGGAAGACACTGCATTAGAGCCTTCTTTGATATCTTTGTCGGATGCTTGTTTCAGCATTTTCAGCGCGAGTAAATTTATTCCTGGCAACTCTTTGGAACTTAATTGCTGAACAGCCTTGTCCGTGGATGAAGGATCTCCATCCCTCTTCACACTTCTAGAGCCAGACCCCAATTGATAGAAACGTTGCCACTGAATTTGTGGTTTCTGATTGGTTTCTTGATTATTGGAGCATCTAAGAGAAGCTGGCTCAGAAATTTTGTAATTACACAACTTTTCAATTGTGAGCCTTGAGGAAGAGCTTGTACCGTGGAGCTGAGGCCCCTTCATGGACGTTACATTTCTGTTCATACCATCAGTCTCCAACATCCCTGAACTGGCAGAAGTTGATCCCTCTGGCAACTCATGACTGGTAGATGTACACTTTCTCATTGATGGTTCACCAGAATCACACTCCCTCGTTCTAGATAGAACATTCGCACCTACATCATTTGCCTCTGCTTCCTCCTTTGACTTGTCCATATCATTCCAAATGGACTCTTTCAATTAAATACCAGCTGCATTCAGCAATGTTTACCCCTTGAGGGATAGGCTGAAATAAAATAAAGTACTTTGTAGTTAGCACAAATTTCTTATTCTTTAACTTCGTTCTTTTATTAAGACACATGGAATTTCGAGGCACTACGGGAAAATGGAGTAAAATATCTCTCAATATATTTCCTCCTTCACCTAGTCAAGTTGGTCGAAGCACGTCTGCCAGAACTAAGATTTACAACAAAATACTCAATGTGATCCCACAAGTGGTGTCTAGGGGAGGGTGGGGTGTACACAACCTTACCCCTACATTGTGAAGATAGAGAGATTGTTTCCGATAGACCCTCGGCTCAAGTAAAGCATATAAAAAACAAATATGCAAAGCAAATACAGTATTGAACATATCAATACTAGCACCACCAAAGAAGAGAGAGAAGAATATCATATGATCATAATAAAGAACTATACTAGCTTTGATTACTTTGACTTTCTATGAATGCTCATGTATTAAAAGTAAATCCACAACATACTCAAGGTACTCATACTACACTTATGCCCCCTATAGATTGCAGTTGAGTTATCGCCGTTGATTTAGAGTTGTGCCGCGTGCGGAGCAACTTGGGGTTTCGGAGATTAGGGTGAGCTCCTGCTGTCTAGAGCTACCAGTTTCCGGCTGCTTTGCTAAGCTTAGTCTTTATATTGTATTCAGAGACAACATGTACTTGTCTTGTATTTGTGAAAGCCTTGTACTCCTATTTTGGATTAGATGCTCAACTACTAACTGATGTCAGGTCTTGGGATTGTTCCTGTATTGTTTTTGTTGATTATCATTTTTCTACTTTGTTCTAAGCTCTTACTTCGTGTTGTTGGCTTCCACTTGGTAGTCCGTTGCTTAAGGCTCCGGGCTAAGGGTTAGGCTTAGCTACTGGTGGGGTGTAGTAGGTGTCATCATGACCTAAGAAATTGAGTCGTGACAGTTTGTGGGGTCTGGAGATCGCATAGGATGTAGGCAAGTTACCCTTACCTACCCTTACCTAGGAGGCTATTTCATAACCACAACCTAACAAACATAATTGATAAAGGGGTAAAAAGGAATCATAAATTTTCATTTAAGCATGAAACCAAAATCAAGAATAAGGCAATACCCAATTATACAATTTATGATATTATCACATTTGGGGAAAACAAACTCAATAAGGTGAAACACTATAACCAAACAGAGAAATCCAAGATTTAAACAAACTGAAAAAAGTTCAATTTTTTTTACCAAATCTTAAATCACAGACCCACAAAGAAATCAAAAGACTTACCTGAAATTGAAATGGGGAAAAAGGGTAGTCAATCCAAGAATCTGTCTAGCTCATCACTCATCACTATTCAAGATTCTGAAAAAAAAATACACAATATTTTTCATTTTTTTAACACCACAACTAGAAATTTGCTACTGTGCAATTATTTGTGCATTAATTTACTCTACGGATATGATGATTGATGAATCAGTCAGTCATCCCACATGGAAAAAAAAAAATTGTTTCCGCCAAATGATGTCTGTGAAAAGTGGAGCATTTCAGATATTGTTTTCGCCGGAATTGTGCTTTGTTAAAGGGCTGTTTGGCCATTAATTTATAAAATTTGGAAAAAAGAAAAAAGCAACATGTTACGAAAGTGAGTCATATATTCCTTGAATTAGGGGTGTACAAAATCAAATCGAAAATCGAACAAAATCGCAATTTGAATCAAATCGGAAAATAAACTCTACTAGTAGTTTGTTTTGACTTGGTTTGGTATTGGAAAAAAAAATTCGACTATATTTGGGTTGGTTTGGTTTTAACTAAAAAAAATCAACTCAAGACCAAACCAATCTGACATTATATAGATATTTTTAAATTTTTATTTTATACGTAAAAATATTTACTTTTATATAATTTTTAAATATTTCTTAAACTTTTTCATAGTTTTTATTTTTTAATATATTATTTCAAGTTTGAAACTTAGAATTCTGAATAGTCCAATAAAGATTATAGTCCATAGATGTTGATAATTATAATAAAGCTTAAATCAAAATCAAATTAATACTAATGCAAAAAAAAAAAATCAATCAACACTAAGAATAACAATAATATTGAATATTTGTTCTTTAATTTTACATTAGTTTAGACAATTAAAATACATAATCTAATTTTAATTTCCTTTAATATTTAGTCATGTAACTAATACTTATCAAACTTATTTTAGCACAATTTAGTACTTTTAAATTATGATCATTTTCATTAAGACTTATTAATTTATAATATTTGTTTTACGCGATTTCATTATTAGTTTTTTGTTGGATATTTTAGTGTCATTAATCATATCATAGTTTGTGTTATTTTCTTAAGAAACATCTTAGATAGTTGTAGTTTGGTAGGACTAAAGAAATATTTTAGTGTCATTAATCATATCGTATGTTTCTATGAATACTTTAACGGAAAAACCCGAAAAAAATAAAAAAAAAATCTGAAAAATCCCGAGGTTGAAAAACCCGAGTTTTTTTTATTTGGTTTGATTTATAAATTTAAAAATCCGACCCAAATTATTTGGTTTGATATTTGAAAAACCCAAATCAACCCAGCCATGTACACCCCTACCTTTAATGTTACACAAATGGCTAATATATACCATTTTTCCTCCTCCTAATTTCTAAAACATATTTTTATGGCTATATTTATTGAACAACTTTCACATATAGCAAATACAAAAATCATATTTGTATGTTATAGTTATAGTTATAGTTGGCATAATTGTGCTTCATAACAAACTTTATATTTGTTATGGCTATTTCGCTATACATATATACAAAAGAAGCAATTGTATAATCTGTTTCGATAGACATATACAAAGAATCAATTGTATAATCTGTGTTTGTATAAAGCGAGAAAGAGAGAAAGACAAAAGAAAACTGGGCAGGGGGAGATCGTATTTGTATAATCGCAAGTGTATAGGACGAAAATATATACATTTGTATTTGTATATACAATTTTCTCTCGCTTTATACAAACACAAACACAATGTATACATTTGTGTTTGTATAAAGTAAGAGAGGCGAGCGAGATCTGGGAGAGGGAAACAAAAATATATGTATATATACAATTTTCTCTCGCTTTATACAAACATAAACGCATTTTATACATTTGTGTTTGTATAAAAGCGAGAGAGGCGAGCGAAACTCCCTAGCGAGAACGAGAGTGGTGAGCGAGATTCCACCAAGGAGAGAGGCGAAATAGCAACAGTTTGTTATGGGGTACAATTAAATCAAACTATGTTTATAGCATTTAATTTGAATTATAGTTTGCTATTATATACAAATTTCCCATATTTATTTTTATAGGGTAAATTTTCTCCTAAGTTCTAACACATATTTCTTTTACTTTTTTTTATTCAACTACTAATTTGAATTTATTATTTTGGTGGTTAAATTTATTTTTTTCACAATTTCTTTATAAATGTATCATAGATGCCCAAAAAAAATTACATATACAAACTAAATTACCATATAGTCATAAAAAATAGTTTTAAATTATAACTAGCCGCAAAAACTTAGTTTTAATTTTTTTTTCATTCACACTTCTTTCTTTTTATTTCTCTTATGTTTACACTAAGAATGAAAAGAAAAAAAATAAAAATAAGAAACTCAAATAATAATAATCAAAGAAGTCAAAAAATAATTCATATATGGAAAAGATCAAATACACCTTTACATATAATTTTTTTTAAAAATGAATATTTCACTTTCATTAGATGATAAAGTTAAGTACCATACCACCCTAAACAATTGTGATCCACACATTCGTCCGCCCAAACTCTGCGCCCGAAGGCTCATACATGCTAACTCCCAACAATTCTCAAGGTATTATGCAAGTAAAGACAAGCCTAACTACTCAATTAATCCTAGCATATCAGGACATCAAGCAACTGTTGAATAACTCTAAACACGAGCTTCTGGCTCTGTGGGGACGAATCTTGACAGGTGTAAATCAGAAGTCCATGGGTTTGACTTCCTTGTGCTAGAATATCTCCCCTCCCTTGTCCCCAAGGTTGATGCAGTTTTTGGTGTATAACCTTCGTCTATTTTACCTTTGGGAGAGGAGAAAACTTAAAAGAATTCACGTTTTCGAGTTTCTACCACGCTAACCCTGCTATAGCGTCTGACGGGCCACTACAATGCACGATAACGGGAATATTCCCACTATGATAGGATGAAGTTAGTCAGGGTCAATTTCAAATATTGAGATTTTTGTCGTGTCACCCCAATTTTAAATTGACAATGTATTTCAAAAAAAATTGAGACTCCACACAAGGTGCCTACCTTTTGAATAATGATAAGTCATGTCATTACAATAGATACCAATTTACCCATTGTTCGTCCCCGAACTTTTATCAGGACGAAAGGAAAGACAGGCCAGTCACAAAAGATCATTGTCTGATTCGATAACATCAAAAAAGAATTTAAACCCTATGGAACCACACAAAACTACAACGTCCCATATACCCAAATATACCGGATTAGGAAATTTAAACGAACGAAGCCACATAAATTTTCACGCCTTAGCGGCTTGACACAATTCAAAACAGAATAAGAGGGAGAGGAATGAGTTTCTCGTCGCATTTATCTTTTTTACCCTCTAAAACTCACTTTTTCTTGCTCGGTCACTCCTTTCTAAATGGTGATACTAAGGTAATAATCATTTCCTCACTCTCCTTACTTCATTACGCACATAATGACTATTGTTGAAATTGTAGAAGCACGGGGTTTCTCTTACATTCACAACGCTCCTGCAACATTATGGGCATAAAAATCACGATGAATAGGAACAAAAATGAGTCTGAAATGGGGGGAAGTTGAAGGATTGTTCTTGGTTAAAACTTAGATATTAACATTAGAAAAATCATAATTTGAACATATAAAAAAAATTAAAAATCCTTGGTAGTCATCTCGTCTTCCCCAATTGGACTTCTCAATCCAATATTCTCATCAAGCAAATTTCATTTGCCACCATTCTTTCTTTCTTTCTAGCATCA